TATGTGCAAAGTTCTGAGTCGAAAACAGACAGAAAGGCAGTTGCCTATAATAGCTGTTTTATTTTCTTCAGCGTTTACTCTATGTTACTTTCTATTCATCGTAAAATGTTTTAAAAAGCTTCATGTGGTCTGACTGGCTGGTTGCAACATAGAACTTTGCACGGACGTGCAGCAGTTCGAGTTACCACACTCCATGTGGCACACAAAGCAAGAAAAGAGAGTGAAGACAGTTAACAAACAGAAGTGTGAGGGAAAAAGAATAGTGATATGGACGAACATTGGCAGACCATAAATACTGAATGCATCTGCGCCTTTGAGAACGATTTTGAGCCGTATGACTAATTGTCTGCAGCTATTCGTCTTGATCATTCGGATGACCCCAACCACTCAAGCAGTCTACACCTCCCTACGTGGCTAGCTTAAACTAACTGTTATGGATTTCATTGACTGATGAAGCCATGTATTGGTTCGACTACCACTAGCTCTTTTCCATCTTGATCCACCGTATATCAGCTAACATTGCTTGTCGGTCGAGAAAGGTGATAGATGATGGCTAGGCATGTGTGTAACACATGTTCTTACCATCTCAATCTGTGTAACTTCACAACCTGATTGATTTCTCCTCCTTACCTAGCACTCGACCGATGCCTAAGTTCAATATTGCTCACCTTATTATATCACCTAACGCGGGAGATAGAATGCAGACACCTGTGATCAAACACTGCTAGCCTTTTCGTATCTCCCACTTTCAATGGCCATGTCTCACTTACAGCGATAACGGAGGTTAGGGCGAACTGCTAAGCAGTACACGCATCCTTTGGTCGTTAGCCAGTCGGATATCACGTCTACTAAGCCAGAGATAGTGCAGGTTGACATGTGCCAGACGAGCCTTCTGAATCCCTGCTGAGAATTCGACAGCGATCAACTCTGACACTGGCTGATGCAACTCCCCAAATAAGCGAAGTGGTCCACAAGCTCAGCCACTCGTTCACATTCCCTGTCTCTAAGCTAGGAGTCAATATAATCCAATTCTGTAGCATCATCTTAGGTTTGCAAAAGGGAGTGAATCGCATGCGAATCATTCGGAAATTTTTTCTCAAGGTGTTCAGAAGACTGAATTTTGTCAGCGTCTTCACCTAGGAGCAGGACTTTATCATCCGTATATTCTAAGTCGATGAGATTATTTTCTGGCAACAAGTCAATCCCTGAGTCGCTAAAGTGGGTTGGGGTTAAGTCCATTAGTAGTACATCTATGATGGAATTAAAGAGAAGTTGGGACAATGGGTATCCCTGACGGACAAAACTGGTTATCACCACTTCATATGACATCTCTCCGTAGGCTTTTATCTAACTGGCTGCATGGGTTCAAGTAGAGTGAGTGCGTTGATCAGTGGAATGTATTTTCGCGGCATTCATTTCACAGCCAAATGTTGCCACAGTAACTCCCATTCGATGGCATCGAATACCGCCTTTAGGTCGAAAAATATGATGTGTAGCCATAGTGATACATTTGATTTCATAGACTCAGTGAAAGATAACGTGTTTGAAAGATAAATGATTTCACTAGTTATCAACTCTCTATTCACGAGCATCTCCCTGACCGAAATAATACTCTTCATTTTTAACTATATCGAAACCAACAACCTAAAAGTTCCCCTTCCCATCAACTACCTGAAGGAACTACTTCTCATATGTACGTTTAATATCCAATTCAAATTCAATGAACAGTTTTATGTAGCTATGGTGTAGCCGTCGGGTCTCCTCTCGGTGCACTACTAGCTGACTGCTTCATGACGAGTCTCGAAAATATCCTCCATCCTTTGATGAGTCAACTGCACTTATACAGGAGATACATAGATGATGCGCTCATAATTTGTGATGAGCAATTTGATTTAGAGTATCTCCTCATAACCTTCAAAACAGCACACCCATCAGTGAAATTCACCTTAGAATGTGAATCGAACATAGCATTTCCATTCCTCGACGTACTAATTACCAGAAGACAAAACTTTACGATCCAAAGATAGATATATCGCAAGCTAACATGAATGGGATAGTTTGTCAACTTCCAGAGCTTCGTCGAATTAATCCAAAAGCAAAACCTGGTACGTACACTAAGTTCAAGGATTAGAAAAATCTGTTCGGAAGAAATGATGGAGAGAGAATTAAATTTATTTCGTGAAACCCTCCTAGAGAACGGATATCCACCAAGATTCTTTGACAAAAACGTGAAAGAGAAGTCTCCGTGGCCAAAAATCACAACTGTTCCTAAGAAAACTCTTCAAGAATCTAGAATTCAAAGGTTACATCACAGCAAAAATTATTAGAAACCGTCTTCTAAATATCTGAAGAAGATATTTGAAGCAGCCACTTTACGTACCATACTCTCCAGCAGACATTTAATCCAGTCTAACATCAAGGGAAAGATATCGCTTTTAACCACTTCAATGTGTATTTATCAGTTCGCTTGCTCATGAGGAGCAAAGTATGTCGGTCGTACGCAACGTCAAGTCCACAAACGTATTCTAGAACATTGTTCAGCTTGGTTAGCCAGAGAAAAAAAGAATAGCAGCAGCTCCATCCTCAAACACCTTGTCATCTCCGGACATCAAACACCTCCGCATGATTGCTTCACATTGCTACACAGAGTCCCTCAATACCATACAAAGGGACTTCGCATACTCCATCTGTACATAGCTGAAGCATTAGTCTCTCAGGATCTGAAACCGGACCCTTGCATTCAAAAGTATAACATACATTCACTCGCCCTACCGTGGTTAGAGTAAAGTTCTTACTATAATTTTGCTCTTTATACTATAAGTTTACTATTATTATTGTTATTACTGCTTTATTGTTATTATTCCCATCATCTATATGCTGTTACCACTCTGTTACTGTTTATTAATAACATCGCGTTTTAATACAGATTTTATGTTAAAAACACTTTATCGTCCTTCCACTAGCTCCTGCCCATTCTACACGAGTTTATTGATTAGTCATTGCCTCACACTTATTACGTTATGGGAACTTCTGCCTCTTCTCTAACTTCCAATTAGTCATCCCATCTAGGTTACTCCTTACATTACATTTTTTCGAGGATAGATTTTGTTCAGTATCTGATTGGTCTAATGATTTTGTTAAATATAATTAAGACTGTACAGCTTATGAAAATGAATCGTCGAAAAATTTTTTTCTTCGCTGTTAAGGTCTTTTAATATGACAATTACTGGACACTGATATGGTCGGAGCACCCTCTTCCTGGTCAAAAGACTGTCTGGTTCTCTCGTGTTTGTTCCTCCCCAGCACCGCTTAGTCTACGCATGATTATTGAGCCTAGAACTTTAGATATGATAGAGAGCAAGGACTCACTGCAGCACTCCCACCTTAAGAAAAATTGAAGAAAAGTATCTCATGGACGTCTTCCAAAAGAATGGATATCCACGGAATTTCATCAAGAGACATATACCCCCAAGCCAACCTACCGAAGCAAAAACCACCAAGGAAAGCACAAAGAAAATTGCCTTACCATATATAAAAGATATCTCAGAAATCACTACAAGACTCTTCAAACCTTTAGGAATTGACGTCGTACACAAACCAACAAAGTCGCTGCACTCAATTCTATGTCAACCGAAAGACTCAACAGCAAAAGAAGACAAAACCAACATCATCTACAAAATAAACTGTAACAACTGCGAAAAACACTACATCGGCCAAAGTGAACGGCCCCTTCGTCTTCGTATCCACGAACATAAGCTAGCCGTCAAAAGACATGATATCCACTCCCTCATTTCACTACACACAGACAACTACGGACATCAATTCGACTGGGACAACGTTCAAATATTAGACAAAGGAAATAACAAGAATGCTAGAGAATTTTTAGAAGCTTGGCATTCCAGTGGATCATCAATCAATAGACACATCGAGATAGACAAAAATTACCAACCAATAAGAAGGAAACCTCACACTCAAAGGGTCAAAGACCAAGTCAAGAAAACAACCGGTTCCAATACAAGTAACCTAGAAGGTGTGAAAACACACACAAACAACCAATCACGTTCGAGGTCACCAGGAGAGATGATTAATAAACTCGTGGAGAAATCTAAAAGTTCACTTCAAATTGAAGTATGCGTTGAAGATGTCACCCAGTAAGGTGATGAAAGCTTCGCAAACTAACCATCCAGCTCGGAGAACAAAACCACATCAAAAGCCTAGAACTTTAGATACCATATTGGTTAAGCTGATCCCTTTGTGATTATCACAGGAAGACTTGTGTCCCTTCTTGTATATTGAAATAATCAAGGACGTATATCAGCCCAACAGGACTATCTGTGATTCCCAGACGCTTCTAGTACCTTAGTTAACGCAGACAGTAAACTGTCTCCTCTGAAGTCATTCGATCAAGTTCCCGCTGCTTTGCCTCGCTTCAGACTAGTGATAGCTTTTGTAACCTTAGTTAAGGAAGGTGGACCTGTGTTTATATCCCACTCAAGGAGGTGTTGGATGCTGGGTAAGTTGAGCGTGGCTGTAGACCAGTTAAATTGTTCCTTAAAGTGTTCTTTCCGACTTTCTAGTCGTCTATCGTGGGAGCTAATTTTGGTGCCACTTTTCTCAGAGATTGCTTTATTTATCGTTTGCCGCCTGTTTTCCTGATAAGACCAGATAGTTGTCTGGTGTCACCTATCGCTAGTGCCTTTTCCATCGCTTTCGCTTCTGCCACCCATGCGGTCTGCTACTGATGGAAACCTGTGTATACGACGTCTTTCTCAAATCTTGCCAAATAAACGCATGAAATGCATGTGTTTATATGACAGTAGGGTTTTTATATCAGGGATAGGATCATTCACTGTTAACTTGCTATCTTTTTGTATTCAACTGCAAGGCTGAATTTTGTAATTCAATGTTTTTTCATTGGATACCTGTTTTTTATGAATGATGTTGGTTTGAACTCCCTCATAGTTGAAACTATTTCTTACTGTTTCCTTATTTTGGGCTAGGTAGCGGTCTCATTTGTTGGTCGTTTGCGGTTGGGGGATTCTAGCTATGCTCCTGAAAGTAATCACCCCCTTCGACAATGGTCTTCAGGTTTGATACACTTGGTTGACTCCCTGAATAGTTGTCATGATATATTATCTGGTGCAGCTGACGATAGCTTATTGGCAGCTGGTACTGCTAATTCACTGATGTCCGTTGACGATGCTGTTCAGTCTGTTTCTCAGTGTCTTCGTGCATCTTGTCGTATACTGAGAAAACCTGGTATAGTCGACAAAAGCGTGCACCAGGAAGTTAAGCCAATAATTAATTTAACAAAACTTTCAATTGTGTGTGACAATCTTGTCAAACGCATTCGGAAATTGTCCTCCACAAATATCGTATCTAAGATGTGCTGTGATACTCCAGACAGAGTAAGTTATTTCTTATTTTAAGAACAGCTATATGTATTATGTATGTGAATTGCTAACGCTTGTTTAGGTTTTAATACTTATAACTTAAATACATTATATGTTCTTCTGCATATTTCTTTTGACTCATTGCACACTTATTTTTGTATGCCACATATATGTGAAGTATGACCAGCACTTTAAGAATTAAAATATATTTAGAAAAGTTAACAATTGATGGTATTCAGAGGTAGAGTTACAGTTAAGGATGAATACTGAATGTGATATCATAGCAATATAAACAGAGAGAATTTATTGTAGGACAATTACACTTATTACTATGATGACAACAACAAACTGTAAATACATTTATCAAGGTAGATAAATATCTAAGTGTAGTTGAAAGGCTTTGTGAAATTAAGTTGTTGATACGCTTACTGGTCTTTGAAGTCGCTGTAAGTATGACTGATAAAAACCTTTTTGATAACGATTTAATTATTTATTATTATTATTGTTCCCTTGGGTTCCTAGTGGAAAATAGGGCTTCAACTTCACGTCTCCATTTGCTTCTGTCTTCTGCTGTACTTTTCACCTGCATCCATGTTAGTCCGTACTCTTTCAACTCCTCTTGACACGATCTCCTCCATGTCACCCTTGCACTGACGTCCCACTCGCCGCGTGCTTCCCTTTCGGCCTGGTTCCACTCGAGCAATGGCTTGACGCGCGATGTCACCCAGCGGCCTCCAGCCTCAGCGAGTGTCCGATCCATGTCCACTTTCTCCTGCATATTTGCTGTTGGTGGGCGATTGGTTCTTGTTTTATTTGTTTGTTCCCATAGTTTCTTGTTGGTGATTCTTTCCGGCCTGTGGCCATCTGATCTTCAGTATAGAGCGGGCGAAGATAGTTGTTAATAAAGGTCTTGTCTGCAGCAGGCTGTTGGAAATATTCTTTGTGACCCGCCCGCCCGTCAAGTTTCTGATCCGTATAGAAGAACTGACTGATTTGACGTTTGTATTGGAAATTCGAATTTTGTTGTTGATGCTGAGTGACGAAGATAACGATTTAAAGTGAGTTTTTTTTATTCCTCCGTTACTTACATCGTAAATCTACTAGAAATTACGTATACCGTGCTAATAGAGAAGAGTAATATGAAGATAACACAGATTGATTACTACACATGATATTTTATTATATTATGTATATATATATATATATATATATATATATATATATATATAATATTATATTATATTAGTTTCTGGAATAAAAGCAAAATTCTGTCTGTCTGTCTGTCTGTCTGGATTCAACATAGAACTTGGCACCGAAGTGCAGCAGTTCGAGTTGCCACGTTCCAAATAGCACACAGAGGTAGACAAGAAGATGAGTGAAGAGAATCAATAAAGTTTGACAAGTATAAGAGTGAAACAGAATGGGTAATGGTAGAAAGGAATATGAAAGATTACAGAGACTGAATACATCTGCGCTAGCCATTGACAACGATTTTGAGCCATGTCACCTATTGTCTCCAGCCATTGATTCCTAGAGTCCTGAGGCCCCCAACCCGGGAGTCTGCATCTCCCTACCTGACTCAGTTTAACTGTCAAGGATTTCATGGATTGATGAGGCCATGTTTTTGTTTGGCCACCACTGGCTCTTTTCCAACCTTCACCTATATCAGTTAGCAATGCCCGTCGGGGGAGGCGGTGGTTAGGCATGCGCACCACGTGACCTAGCCATCTTAGTCTATGTAACTTTATAGCCTCGTCGATTGATTTTCCCTCTTTGCCGAACATTACTTACCTTATTAAACCACCTAACGTGAGACAGAGATCGCAGACATCTATGATCGAAAGTAGTCAACCTTTTCATGTCTTCAACTCGTATTGGCCATGTTTCAAAGCCATAGAGAAGGACGGAGCGAACTGCTGAGCAGTACACACGTCCCTTGGTTGATAACCGGATGTCAAAATTATTATTATTATTATTGATTACTCTACTAGGTCACTATGTATGTATTTATGATACGTTATGGTTTGCATTAACCTACACTGTAGTAGTACATTGTTATCTTATTTGCTTATACAACGTTAGAATGTTAGTGAAATCTCTAATGAACTATTGTAGTGTGTTCGGAAGAGAAAGAAAAAGCATTTCATCAGTGTTCTTCACATTGTTTTATATTAACTTATAAAGAATAAGATATCCAACTAGTGGAAGAATCTAATCTCGTAGTTTTAGCCTTTTTCGTAGCTTTGATTCACATATGAACAGTTTTGATAGTAATTGTTTTTATGGACAGAAATCAAGTAGTGATAAATACATATGGATACTGTTTTCTTCTTACGTCACAGTAGTCAAGTTTTTCACTATTTCATTTATTTATAAAAAGACTATGTGCTTCAAGTTTTTTATTTGTATCTTCTCTACAGCCCGCAATTGCAGGAGGAAGTGTTCGAGGCAGGGCAGCCTACAAACTGATACGCTTATTACTTGTAACAGAATCCGAGCGTCTGCGGAGTAATTCAGTTGAATTCAACAATTCAACTTCCAGTCCTGTTTTACAGAATAATGAATTGCCCAATAAGGACGACTGTTCAACTACACCGTTAAGTCAGCTGTCGAAGTCCGATACACCCACCACAGATGGTCGGACATGCAGATTACTTCAAATGTTCATATCACCGTCTACACCACTAGTAAATAATTTAAAGCCGGTTGTCAGAAATATTCCTTCTCCACAGGATCGAATGAATGATGAGAATGGTTTTGTCCCGATGGTATGTTCCAGTTATTGTTACACAATGCCAATGCATTTCTAAAAGCCTTATTCGATATTGATTGAAACTTGTAGACTGCCATTATTTAGTTTTCTGGGAGGGAATGGTCAGTCTCTGTTAACCCATAGGCTACTACCTCTTTTTGATGTTGACGTCTTCCTGACAAGAGTCAACACAGACCTTTTATTCCGCACTTAACGAGAACTTATCTAACTCAACGGACATTTCCAAATTCTCATTTATGGATTCAGAAAGAACAGCAGATTGAGCGAAGAAATATATTCCTTTTCAATTAGTTCTTCATCATCTGTTGGCTCTACATTAACATATATTTTTTACATCGAAATTTTTTTTACCAATCACCAGTTTTAGGTGTAGGCAGGTGAAATTAAGGTTATCAAAACAATTAACTAATTTGATGATATTAAATAGCTGAAGGCAATCACCAGAAAGCCTTGGACTTGGATTTCGTGCTAGTCGGCACTCGTCAGCAACGCGTATCTGCAACCTTGAAGGAACTCATGTCCCTTCTGAGATTGGAACCCGCGTCACCCAGTGCTGCAGTCAGAGAGGTTACCACTGAGCTATTCGGGCCCACGATTGTAGCGGGTATTTTGATTGGACACTAGTAACTAGTGTGACGTGTCTAGTTCTTTCTTTGGTGCAAACTAATAGGTGTTAGTGACAAGATATCTAATTTTTGAAGGAGGGAGATGTGAGAATTAATTACGGAATTCAAGATAGGTTAATTCTTGGGCGTTAGAAACAAGTTAATACATAATCAAAAAATTAGTAAGATAGTAATGACTAAGAAGAATTCATCTGAACAAGCCAAATCTGTGTGTTCAAAAGAAATTTGTACAGCCCCTATGTTTGCCATGCCCAACTACATAAGATGTATTAAGTTTTTAAAACGATATTTCCCCTCCCTCTGTAACCATCTTTTGAGTTTGTTAATTTTTACAATTCTAGCTAATTTTATTAACTTGTTTGTATTTTACGTAACTCTTCTTAGTCATCACTTCTATTTTACAAATTTCTTGATTATGTAATAACCTGTTTCCAATGCCTAAGAGTCAACTTATCTTAAATTCCGTAGTTAATTTTCACCTTTCCATCCTTCAAAACTTAGATATCTTGTTACTGACATGTATTAGTTAATTGTTTTGATGACCTTTAAACTCTGAATTTCAACCCCCCCTTCTGTACTTAAAACTGATGAACTAAAATAACCAGTTGATTAGTAAAACATATTGATGTAACACACTATATATTGGTGTAGAGCCAGCCGATGATGGAGAACTAATATAAAGGAATACATATTTCCTTCTCCAGTCTTGTGTTTTTTTAAAGTGATGTTCACCATTTACCTAAAGTTTCTGGGATATCTTATGCACCACACTCATTGGTGCATACGGTGTACGTTATCGATCTAAACTAGTCAAGTCGTAACAGGGTCATTTACATGATTGATTCATCCTGTAGTTGGTGCTGATTAACGTTTTTCTATGATTTATTTTGGTGTTAAATTTTAAGAGTGAAGCTTAATGCAAAAGCTCTGGACACCCGTTATAAGCTTGCTAACGTGCTGTTTAGCTGATTGTTCTGGTTATTAGTTTTTTTTCACTAGTCGGTAAATTTCACTTACTGATTGGAATAATAACAAGTTCACATCCATATAGTATGAATAGGGAGCTGTGTGAAATAATACGTCTTTTTACTCCAGTTGCTTAGCGATTCTTTTACTCCATCCAGTGGAACTGAGATGCACAAATAGTTTGAAACTAATGTGATGCCAAACTAAGTCTAAAAAATTTCCACCCTCAACTTTATTGACTTTGATAATCACCAAACATATAGTTGCATCATACTTCCTGAATTGAACATTGGCTTCATCTGCAATGTGCCACGCAAAGAGCGAGTGTGGCCGCTTGCGGCTTGAAAGAATGCTTCGCTAAAAACCACTGGGTTTCTGCGAGTTCCTTGCAACTCCTGGATGAACCCCAGTCCATTCCGACTGGCAGCGAATACAACAATAAACAAAAGGCGCTTACGTGCAAAATAAGACAGTGTTTACATAAGCACCGCGAAGCCTAGTGGTCAGAACGTGCGTGCCAGATAGAGTCAGCTGCTGCATCTGGCAACAGTCGAAAGCTGTTCCAACTCATTGGCAGCAAGAAACAAGGTGTCAGCGAGACGGTCTGTGAGGCAGATGACACGCCAATTACCAGCTTGAAAAGACTCCTGGAACGCTGGGTAGAGCACTTCGGGAAACAGTTTAGCTGGCCACCAGCTTCAGTGTCTGCTGTCATTAGCCCCAGTGCTCCTTGGTCGGTTAGTACTGACCCACCCACCGAAGCGCGGAGGTCCGTAAGGAACTTCAAGTGTTAAAACGCCATAAGGCACTCGGTCCAGACAATCTACCCCCGGCTCTTTTTAAAGATAGTGGCGAGATTCTCACAATGGCTCTAACTGGATTGTCCAGGAAGTTACGGGAGACTGAGAGTGTACCATCAATGTGGAACGAAGTCATTATCGTCCCTATCTTTAAAAAGGGTCGACGTAATTCGTGTGACAATCATAGGGGTATCAGTCTGCTACCAGTCGCGTCTAAAATATTGACTACTGTCTTGCTTCGCAGGCTGTGCAAAACACATATGGGGAGCTGATTCGCGAAGAGCAGACTGGGTTTCGTTCAGGTCGTGGATGCATTGATCTTGTATTCACCCTTCGTCAGTTGTTGGGACACCGCCACACGTATTGCAGGCCAACGATCGTTGTGTTTCTTGATATTAGGGCTGCCTTCGATTCATTGGACAGAACTGTACTCTAGAACTGTCTGTTAGAGAGAGGTGTACCTGAGAAATTTGTTAACATCTTGAAAGCCCTATACAGAAACACCTCGGGTAGAGTGAGGGCATACAACCAACTATCATCACTGTTCCCGACCAACAGTGGGGTTAGACAGGGTTGCCCAATCTCTCCATTTCTCTTTAACTATGCCATCGGTGACATTCTGGAGTCAGCTCTGAAGGATGTGCATGAAGGTAGTGTAGATCTGCTACCTGGAGATAGACTTTTCGACCTCGAGTATGCAGACGATATCGTCTTACTGTGCGATAGCATGCAGGCTGTCCAAATGGCACTTAATCAGTTGGCGGTCGTCGTCTGGAAGTATGGTATGTGCTTTGTGCCGTTTAAGTGCAAAGTACTGTTACAAGATTGGCAGGAGCCTGTACCTGCACTCACTGTCTCGGGTGAACCGCTTGAAGTTGTTGATAAGTTTGTGTATCTGGGTAGTTGCGTGAGTGCTAGCGGAGGGACGACGGATGAGATTTCCAACCGTATAATGAAGGTTAGGGTGGCATACATCAACTTGAGCCACCTCTGGCGCCGTCACGACGTTAGCCTGGCTGTCAAAGGTCAGATATACAATGCTTTGGTGCGGGATGTCTTGCTCTACGCCTGTGAAACCTGGCCTCTCCGAGTAAGCTGAGGATGTGCGGCGGCTCTTCGTGTTCGATCATCGCTGTCTCCGCAGGATTGTTTGCGTTCGATGGATGGCATCATCGTGTGAGTAATTCTGAGGTTCGGCGGCGTGTGTTTGAACACAGTGGAGATCACCATTCATTGAGTGTTGTCGTCAACTGGAGACACCGGCTCCGGTGGCTTGGACATGTGTTGCGAATGTTACCCCAGAGGCTTCCGTACAGGTCTCTGTTCGCTAGCCCTGGGACGGGATGGAAAAGGCGGAGAGGTGGTCAGTCCATGACGTGACGTCGTGGGATGAAGGATTTTTGTGCTAGATTAGCATCGATTGGTGCGTCACGACTCCCTGGTTGGGCTCCTCGAGAAGGCTCGAATCGATGGCTCGAAACGTTATCGGATATGGCCAAAAATCGTAATCAATGGCGAACGTGTTGCGATTTCCCTCTTTCTACTCTTCCCGATGATAGTTGACGAATACTGTTTGAACTTGTTAAGTATGACTGTTTTCCTTCCAGATGAAGTTCTTTATCTGTTCTCTACTTATATTTTTTTAAATTTTGATCCATGTTGTTTTACTATTATTGTATGGCGTATCATTCTTGGTGCCATATTGTACCAAGTTTTTTATGTGTTTAAATAAATAAATAATACCCGAATTACAGAATGCTACACTGGCTGTTTTCAAACTGAGCTTGAAAGCAGACATTCATAACCAAATTGTTACAGACCGTACTCCAGGTGCACTGGAAGAGTACACTCGCCATTGGCATGTGATGAAACTTTTTCGTATGTGCATCAACAACCATATATTTAAGGTGAATACTCCACTTTTTTATTTTCCTGGAGAATTATAAGATTGTTTTTTTTTACCTATTTTACACCAATATTCTTTTTCAATATTATATAGCCTAAAAGAATTGTTATGTCGCGCTACCAGTCTAATCCATACTTGTACAAAAAAAATTGTTCACCATTGGTTATGCATTCTTTTTCTATTGATGAAGCGAAGTCATTGCCATGTTGGAATATACTGAATGAAGATTCACAGTCGAATGCATCTTTTACTAAAGAAGACAAGGACTTAAAGTGAGTGTTGCATTGAGTCTCTTTTCTTTCACTGAATAAATACTTAAGTGTAATACACATGCTACTCAACTGACTGACTGACTGAATTCTCAACATTGAATCTTGCACAAAAGGGCAGCTGTTGTGACATTTCATAAATGGATACAGTACATGTTGAAAAGGAAGAAAGATATACAATAAATTATAATAGATGGAGATTTACAGGAAAACAATGATTATATTGAGAACGATGAGGATTTAAACAATCTGGAAGGTCGCATTGAGTGAACGCATCTGCTCCATTGGGAACTATTTGGAATAGTGTTATCAGCAGTCTCTGATCACAAAATTTCAGCATTCCGACTATCCCAATCAGACAGTCTGCATCTCCCTATGTGACTAGCTCAAACTGACAGTCACTGGCTTCATGTAGTGATGCCATGTTTTAACCTTACCACCTCTAACCCTGTTCCAACTTAATTTTATATCAGCTAGCACTGCTCGACAACGAAATCAATTGTGCTGCACGTGTAACACAAATCCTAGACATATCAATCGATACGAAATTCACAACTTTAGCAGTTGACTTTCTCTCCTTACTTCACATTTGACGTTCAACCTCACTGTTATTGACCATATTATGGCACCTAACAGGAGAGACCAGAACACAGAGTGAAAGTAGGCGAATAGAGTTTCATGAGATACTGTCATGATGAATACCTAGTCTTCCTATCATTCTAAGTCATGTCGTTAATTTTGAGTAAGATAATTGTTTACCTACAACAGAAGTTTGAGATGTTTGGTCAGTCTATGTAAGCGGACTGCATAGATTATAAGAAGAGTCATTGACTGCAATAATTAATCCTGCTCTTGATCTTGTTGTTCTCAGTTGTTTTGCAACAGTTAATATTGTTTTTTAGTGGCTTTGCGGGAACGTTTCACAGTCACCTCATTTAATGCAGTTTCACGACCTAAAATATGCTGTTTAGCGTAAATATTTTCATCCTTAGGCTGTCTACAGATTCTGTTACATTTAGTAGTGTCCAACAATAGAGCTTTTGGCAACAGAACTTATCTGTTGAACATTAGTTGCAGTAAGAAGTAAGGCTACAGATTTGTCTCTCAGCAGATTTAATTCATATCTTCTAACTAACATTGTGGATTAATTTGAAATCTCTAGTTCAGACGTCTGATAGAAATCAAATAATTTTGAGAGGTGTTGTTTGTCTTTCAAGTCTCCTCTTCTGGAAATAAACTGCTGATGTGCCTTTTTCGGCTATGGGACAATAGTCTGTATCACCTTTGATCCTAATCTTTTTCATTATTTCACGGTCGTTTACTCCCCATCACTCGGTGCACAGAATTGTTGCCGACCAGCGTCTTGGTTGATTTCATCTGTAATTAAGCTTGAAACATGTTGAAATGCGTTCGTTTGCTGTCAGCCAAAAGCAACTTTTACCGTTTTTACACAACTTTATCTTCAGAATCTTTTACTTTAGTACCTGTTTAGACAAATCTTGAGTTTAGGTGAGTTTTTCAGTCTCACGCTCTTCGTATATTAACGTGAGGATGTGTTTACGAGGGAATCTTTGTCAATACCAACAGTATTTTTGAAGTTGTTTTGTACTTTGTTTAGCGTTAGCACAATTATTTCAGGCGTTAATGATTTCATTATCGTTTTCCCACCTAATTAGAAGGAAACATATTCTATTTTCAAATTAGATTTCATGATATTTTTTCGTGTGGTATGCTGTTTGTTCATCTCTTAGTACCAATTGCTGTTTCGAATTGTCCATTTGATTTCCAGCAGTGGTTATTCTGAACCTGGGACACCAACGAAATTATTCAGAAAACAAAACAGACGATCGAGGGCCTTATTCACAGAAGAAAATTCTGAGAGTGGTAAGGTGGCTGAATATTCAACGCATGTCTGTTTCGTCTTTAGTCATCATTTACTTATGCCGTGCTTATATGTCCACATAATATAGTTTTTGTATTTGCGTTTGTAGGGATTCTTTTATTTTGCCTCAGATAGGTTGTTTATTACAAAAATTGTTGGTCAACATCGAATTACTCTAATTTGGTGTAATCACTAAATTAATTTACTTCTCAGCTCACTACTTAGTATATCAGTTTATTCTAACTATGCTTAAGTAAGTTAGTAGAAATTCTATTGATGCAGGAGAATTGGATTCATATCTGATATGGTGCAGTAACTCAAAAACAGGAGACAATTCAATTCACTTATGCACTGGAATGTCAGGAAGAGGAGCTTCCAATGTTAGATTGCAGTGTAAAAGGGAAAGAAGATGGGAAGTTAAACACTAGTGTTTACAGAAAACCCACAAATTCAAGCAGATATTTGGACTTCCGATCATCCCATCCAATGTCAGCGAAAATAGGATTGATGACATGTTTAAGTGACAGAGCACAAAAACTAAGTAGTACCAAGGAAAATCTGAGACAGGAAGTGAGGCTTGTAGGAGAAGATTTGAAACTTAATAATTACTTTGATAAATTAATCAGAAAGCATGTAGGGAAATGTTAAAATAAAATAATAATAGTAGTAGTGACAGTGATAACAGTAATAGTATTATTAATGACTACATGCATGTCAAACATGCACAGGACGACGACAACACCAACAATAAGAATTCTAAATCATCAGTAGTACCCTATACAAAGAAGAAACCTCGGAAACCTTACGCAGAATTCTTAAAAAGGCAGGAATAAAAGTGGCTGGCATTCAAACCAACCACAAACTCAATTAGAAACATGCTTTGTCGGTTAAAGGATCCTGTGGAGCCTTTAAAACAAAACAATTTAGTTTGTCTAATATCCTGCAATGACTGTCAGGTCAAATACATAGGTCAGTCAGACTGGCGGAGCACAAAAACCTAGCGAAATCTAGATTAGTTCACCCGAATTAGATAAGAAATCTGGAGAATAGTTCAACAGTAAACAGGGGTACATGCAATTACACACAACCATACAATAGGATAGGATAAGATGACAGCTTTAAAATATAATGTTATAGGGTGGAGGGAGAGACTAACGGCAACAGAAGGTAAATAGTCCCCATCGTAAGGAATACTTTTTTGTGTACACTTGTAAGTGCATATACGCAAACGAGAGTGAAAGAAATGGGCGATTGTAGAACACTGCTAAGAGATGGAGTGGTGCACACCGCCATAATGGAATAAACTGACTTCGCAGTGTTAATTTGATTAATACATTGACATTTTGTTATCTGATAGCCACTTGTATACACATGGAGTTGTTGTTGTACTGGATCTCTTGCCTAAGTGTTGATGGTAATTCCTATCTGTTGAATCCTCGGTGGTTGTGGATAGTTTTCAACTAAGTGACTTAGTCGTTAGAAGCAAATCACTGGGACTGATAATTCACGGCTCTACTTAAAACAGAGACATGAAATTCTGACCAGGTTGCATTTTAATCTTGGTTCTTAAGGGAAACTGTGGTGAAATTTCACCTCCGACCGTGTAAATTACTAATTAATTCGCCAGTTTACGAGTTCGATTGAAGTCGGTTAGCTTGCTGGTAAATGTTGACAACGCCTCATTTATTCAGTTATGTAGTATTAATATACTTATCATCTTCTAACTATTTGAATAATGTGTATGAAAATACTGTGTTGTAACTGTTTTAGATTGTTTGTTTGCAGTTGTTTTTTTAATAAGAATTGATGAAATAAACTAACATCATGTTGTCCTGCTGAACTTGTTGGTCAAGTTCATCAAGAGGAAGAATTTTATACTTTTCTGTTTAACTTTTTTTTTAAATGTAGATGCTAAAACGGCACAGTGCAACACACTTTTCAACAGTAAGGTGACTTCTAATCAAATAGCGAAAAGCGGAGGTAAACAGAATACTAAGAAGTTAACAAATCCAAAGAGACGCTCGAAAACTGTTCTACGCACTGTTTCTTCAAATAAACAGCGATCTCTGTTAGAATTTTTCAAACCATAGATTAAAATTTTTTTAAAGATTTTATAATGTGATTAAATGCGTCTGTCATTAAGTACCTTTATGATTGTACTTTTGTGAATGACAATTTTCACTGCTTTGGTGTCTTTCTATCTTGTCATACTTTAATTTTATGTCTTCGATGTATTTGTATCACATCTCACGCTGTGTTATCCGTAATTTCCTTCTTGTTTTATCGTTAATATGCATTTATATTAGGAATGTGAATAAAATATGTAAATAAATATGTAAAACTACAATAATGAAACGAAATACTTTGTTATTTTTATGATTATTCGACGAAAAGCTCATAGAATTCTGGTAAGAAAATATAATAACCAAACGGTGCGTAGACAATTGCAGTAAAAATTATGGCCACTAGACAATGAAACAGCGATGAATATAGGCGAAAGTGTTGACCTTGTATAGTGATTTGTCGGGGTGTTCTTTAACTATATAGTTGTAACAACAGAAGACAAGGGCCAGGCAACAGATCGTTTTATTATGAAAATCAACACGTATTTATACATATTTCACATACATTATTATAGACAAGCGCAGTCATCTGATTGGTTGTTTCGGGATTCCTCGACAAATAGAGTTCTCTATCTGCGAATCATATTTTGCCACGTTAACTTTGCTGTGATTGGTTGTTGAATCAGCCTTGCTCATATTTTCTCACGGCCTGCTCTCACCACATAGTTAGTTTACTTCTTTGAAAAGTAGTCCCATCCAACTAAGGTTTCCTGTTTATCAACCTTCTTTAGCAATGCGTTTATCGAAGCTTTAAAAAAATCATGTTATTCCTGAGGTTAGAATTTGTGTCAAAACCTACCACTGTTGACTAACTTTCAAGCGAGATACTTAACATCCTCCAACTGATTTCAGTGGAAATTCTAACCGGTTAAAAGAAATACCTCTGACTTGTAAGAGTAAAGGTAGGATGTCTTTTGACTTGGATAAACGGCTCGACTGACTTGCATCATAAAGGAAATGGAGATTGGTTGGGGGGCATACGCTAAGGAGTCCATTGGGTGAAATCACGCGTCAGGCCCTTAGTCGGAAAGCGAAGAGTAGGCCGTCTGAGGCTGACATGGAAGAATTCATATGAAGAGAAATCAAAGCCTGAGAACGATCATGCAGCATGCTAAAAATACGATAGGAAACCGAATGCAATGAACAGGTACTTCCAAAGTCGTATGTCCTACTCAGAATCCAAGGGATGAGCAGGAATAATGTGAGGATCTGGAAAAATGTAGTACCACAAGCACTCAAAACAGTACGATTGTATTCTGGACAATTATATTATTTCTTTTAACGTAATTTAGTTAATTGTGTGAAAATACTGTCCGATTATTAGTAATTACACAATCATTAGGAGTTTTACATTCTAAAGCAGAAGACAAAAAATGAGTCTTAGAGGAAAAATAGGCTGATCAAAATGAAGCCATAGGTAATCTGTTTTTTCTTAAAAAGTCGGATATTATTTAAGTATAATATTCAAGTTAGATTGATATACTACGACAAACAAGTATTCGCGTAGGTCGCCTCTGCAAATTCTTTAATCCCAGAAGGCTTAAGCATGGATTGGATGAGATTGTAAACATGTAATCAGCCCTTGAGGTTTCATTTCATTCTGACAGATACGATGCACAGTGACAAATAGTGGGAAATGTGTCGTGCGGCGTCTAGCAACTAATATGTTGTAGATCTTACAAATTCGGTAAAAAAAAATAAAGCCAAGTTAAGAAGGCATAAAATTTACTCAAAATAATAGGAAAGATCAAAACCTCAGACTATGCCTGTGAACATCAACACCAATGACAGCTAGACACTAAAACTGTCTATTCTTCACTAGATCACTATATTCATGAATGAGTAGTGTCACTGGATTTCAGAAGAGTTAATCTCAGTATTAACCGCTCATTATAAATATCACTGAAGTACCTTGTACTTGTGACTAGCGCTCCCACAACCGATTTAACGTCATAAAGAAAACAGCTAATTATTACATATCTGGAAGGTACTGGGTTCGAAACCCGGTGGGTGCGTACTGCAGATGAGAACTAGACTAGGACGAAACAGCTGCCCAGTACTTCGTGGTGTTCAATGGCTGTCTAACTGGTGTCAAGACTTGAAACAAGTCAAATCCTAACAAACAAACTCTTGAAGATTTAAAAGTCAATCTGAACGAAGAATACTCTTTTCAATAATTTATTAGTGATATTATCTCTTTTCTCAATATATGCCTCCACCTGTTTCATTTCACATTCGTTATTTCATTATGAACCTCTCATTGCAGTCTTACTGTCTCCTGTTCAACTCAGACAACTTTGTACTAGCCACTCACCTGACACCTTTTATAACCTTGAACTGACTTATTTGTCAATTTTCATACCCCATACTCTACAAATCTATTATGATTAATCACCATCATTGTCTCCCGTTTTACAATATTTTCTAGTTGATTTCAGCCTAGCACGTTTGTCACACTCAAATACGACTATTTATTTTGACACCCCTTTCCTTAAACACACTGGGATTATTTTAAATAATTTATAATGATTCAATCTGACTCAGAGCTCAAATTATTCCAGGAAATTTTTAACATCTGCGATCTGGAAACGTAGGATCGTAATTATATTTAACAAATTCATTAGACCAATCAGATACTGAACAAAACTTATCCTCGAAAAATGCATTACGTAATGTAAGGTGTAACCTAGAAGGAATGACTAATTGGAAGTTAGAGAAGAGGCAGAAATTGACATAACGTGATAAGTGTGAGGCAATGACTAATCAATAAACTCGTGGAGAATGGGCAGGAGCTAGTGGAAGGACGATAAAGTGTTTTTAACATAAAATCTGTATTAAAACGCCATGTTATTGATAAACAGTAATAGAATGGTAGCAAAAATATGGATTTGCAATTAATACTGTTCTCTGAGCTGGTTGGTTTAGTTGTGGAGCAAATCTATTATTATGCATTATTATTATTGTCTCCATTATTTCAAAAAAAAATGGATGATGAGAATAATAGTGATAATAAAATAATAGCTGCAATAACAATAATATAATTACGATAATACAGCGTATGCAAATGATTCGTCGGAAAAAAAAACATTTTCTTCGCTGTTTACGCCTTTTTCTTATGACCCAGTATGGGAATATTTCGTTCATTAATGAATTTTAGAAGTGTACTAGTTATAACCAGTTAAGAATCCACGAAATAATAAAAAGAGTTTAGATTATCCTGGTACATTTATCGTTCTTGCCTTATTCAAATTTATTAATGGGAAGAATTGTCTGATGTGATTTTTAAGAGACTAAAAAGTTCACGATAGACCGATAAACACCTTTTGATGGTGGCTAAAAGCTTGATTCAACTTGATTACTATACCGTACGCTGTTATTTTACCCGGCCATTATGTCCCTAGTAGAATGAAGTACGTGATGTGAATTCCGCTGTAAGCCATTAGTGAGTAATTTTTCAGAAAGAAATAAGCAAGACTCGAGTAAAATGAATTAATAAATCTTAGAGTCATAAATGATCAGTGATGTAAGAATGTTTCCATGTACCGAGTTGTGAAGAATTTAGAAAATATTACCTAAATAAAATGATCATATTACCTGTTTTGCATATTCCACTCCATCTACAAATATTCTGTGCAGATCTTTAGAGGAAACTGGATACAAGGAAGACTTAACTGTATCACTTAAAGAAAGCCTTCTTCCATAGGTGATGTTCAAAATATCTAAATCTGCTCCAATATCCGGGATTTCGTCTGATCTATATGACATACCTAGCAAAACAATAAAATTAAGGAGTAGATCATTTATCCACACTTGACTTCTTGTAACACTGCAATATTACCAATTCATTCTTAACAAATTGACTTTATCAATTAGTAATGAAACTCATTGCACAATACGAATAGCAAAATTATTGACATGTTGATATCAAATATTCAAGCAGCCTCAATAAGGTAGTCATAAATTCCAACGAAAATTATACCGGTTGTCTGTCAGAAAATATTGTTTAAACTCGACATTTACCAAAGAGTATGTGTATGTTTCCTGTATAACCATATGGAAATAAAACACTGTAGGATACTGTAAACCATAAACATGTCCCATAGAAACGATTGATTTGAGTATATCACTTGTATAGCAAAGTGGGTTTTAAAGATCTTGTGCTACTTCATTACAGCTAAATCCGACTGACTTATCAACGCGAAACTTTGCACAAAATGCATCAACCGGTAGAACCTCACAACCTCATCGACTGACTTTCTCTGTTTACCTAACTGTACTGATCACATTACTCCGTCTTTATGGCACAGCATAAGCTGCATTAATATTCATTCCGACCAATGTATCCCGTTGGTTTATCGTGATAGGCAAGCTTCATGACCACATAAAGACAGAAGCTACTTATTGAGCGAAATTGAATATCTATTCAAGAACAAAATCGACACAGTACACATGAGTATATCAGTGTAGAGGCTGAAAGAAGAATGATTAATGAAACTGTTTAACGAAAATCAGATAAATAAGTCGACTATAAATGTGTTACAGTAACCTATTTAACAAGATCTAGACTGAAATTGGGTGTAAATGTATCTGTACCACTACCATATTCATCATAAACTGACTGGCTTATCATTCAAATCTTACACCACATAACTTCAATCGTCTATGTATGTTAGAAACTGCCTGGCTTTTTCTTTCATTATCCAGTCAACTATGATGCAAAATATTTGCGTGCACTTTAGACATCGCATGCCATTTAAATTCTCCATGGAGCATAAAAGTAAATAATTTCTGAATTTTTGACTACTCATAAGTAGGCGTACAGTAAGAAACGAAAATAGATGGTTGGAGCACAGTTCAACTGCAGCAAAAATACCATGAATCAAGATTGGTCATAAGTGTGTTTGTGCGTACTACAAAAGATAGTAAATACAGTTAGAATTGATGATTATCAGATGATAAAGTCACTGAGGTAGCTGTAAATTACTCTAGAGTTTTTCATGCCAAGGATATATTTTTTCATTTACACTTATAGAGAGAAGTTGATGATTAATTGTATCTTAGTGCATTCCTAGTTTTTCGATTATCAGTGCAAGGAAAGCAGAAGACTTCACCACATTATCGTAATGAATGGTCAGCTTACTACTTTTCACGGAAAATTGGGTCACTTAAAATTCATACAATTAGAAAAAAGGAAAAGTATCTCAGGAAAATGTGATAATCCATCAGTGGATAGAGATGTGTGGGACACAGAATAGCCTAAATGAAATTTCTTTGTGATATACTCATTAGTCGTCGGCCACTGGCTCTTAGCATCACCAACCATCTATCGTAGACAAGCAGTCACAGGCTAATGTACCATTGCTGTATTCTGCTTCACTGAGCCTCAAATCCTCTGGTAAACCAACCATTCACATGGAAAACACTTGAGCAATCAATATATCTTTCACTCTATAAGAGATTTACTAAACAGCTTTGCATCTGACTTTTGGACTATAAGGAAAAGCCAGCTGAATATTTAATCACTGCTTTGCAAATATTATCCTGCGGTTATCGTAATAATCATTTAAATATTTGAGTCTGCCAGTCATCTTTCATGATCACTTTAAAGTTTATAATGAAAGTATGTGGTACATGCTATTATGACAGTCTGTATCCATAAACCAAAGTCAGTACGTTTCATAGTTGGTTCCTACCACCTCAACACGATGTACTACATGCATTATGCGTTGGAAAGACAGTGTTTCAAATTATCTAGATTAAAATATAGTGTCATTTCTTTAAATACTAATTATGAATACCCTGAAAACATTTTTCCCGCTGAGTATCAAGTCACACCATCTTGTATACCATAGTTCTTTTTTTCAAATAAATAATGGAAAATTATTGGTAAACTATTTAGAACCCAAAGTCGTCAGTTTGAGCATAATCACACAAGGTTGGGTAGTGTAACATGTTTATCTTGCAGAACTGATCCGCTTGGAGATTTTCCTCTATAGTCGATGTTAATCGATGAAGCAACAGAAATCAGACGGTGCAATCAATACATCACACCTTTACTTAGACAAATGCGTCTATTTAAGAGGTGTAAATTGACTCTTTCAGGTTTCTCAATATCACGTTAACGTTAAGATGTTGGACTGGAATTCACTGCAATCAACACCTGAAAAGTGTGACCATTTTTATGACGCTAAATACGAAAATGTAGGCTGTTAACTAGCTTTAAGACCACTGAATTCTTTTTCTCCATTGAAGGTCAACACAAAAGCTTCATTTTACTTGTGAATATGAAAAGAGATCACTAAAGCCAGAGATATTCGCTTATCGTATTGATTTTCCACTAACGAGTACAATCTGTTTATCATAGAGACTACATCAGAATTAAGCCTCCGTCAGTCACTAAGTTAATCCTGAAACAAAAATCTATCGAGAAGTTAAGCACGCAGTAATCAGGTTAACGCATAAAAACGAATGACAAATCTGCACATTTAGGCAGATTAGGTTAGACCGGATGTTGAAGTTCGTTTAACTGATTCAAGTGCTGTTAACATATACACATAATGGAATTCGATAAAACTAATGCAGTTTAAATCCTACTGATCGATCATGTCCTGATCAAATGAAAACCATTCAGTTTGCAGTAATCAAAGAATTAGTTGTAATTCATTCAATATAAAGTAATTGTAATACTTTTAACTCATTTAGTTACAATGACTGATTTATAAGCCAACTCATCCTTATAGCAGAAAAGTTGACTTTCCTATTATTGTTAGTTCGGAAATAAAATCACCAATTTTTCTCTTTTTTAACACACTGAACAACTTACACATAAATAATTCAGCTATTCCACAACTTTGTTCAATTGTTAAATAATTTATACCTGCATTTATTAGAAAGTAAATAAGTAACAATAAAAGTAGTGTTAGTATTTCTTTTTCAAAAAAATAATCTAATATTCAATCAATTCAACAAGTTTCAATGTTCACTTATGATCAGTGAACTTGACAGAGATGGTTTAATTGTTATTTATTGATCAACCAATTTCTGCCCATTTTCTAATGCATGCTGACTCGCAGTTGAGATGAGACCTTCCCAAATGGCTGATTTTATGTATTCTAAACAGCTATGTATACTTAATTCATATGAAAGTTGAAGTAAGCAGATAGTGGCTGAAGTTAATCAGTGAAGCCTCTCGTGCATCTAGTTAGTAGTATAGAAGCTCCAGGAAAAGATCTATCATCAGCTTTCAGTCTAATTTTAACTATCCTTTCTGACTATAAGGAGGTTCACTCTAAAAACCAGTACTATATGCGAAAATCTAACTTATACTTTAAAACGTATTTAACAATATGAAGGAAATTAACGAGAGGCACGTATTAGAACACTTTGAAGTTTAACAACATTGTAGAAATCCGTTGTTTCCATGAGATCTGAAATATTGCTGTCTGCTTTCATAGTCATCACAGAGATTATAGTTCACAATTAAAGACAGTCTACAGAGTCAAACTAGACGGACAGGTCATGTCCTGAGCATATTCGAAGATATCACCTGGTAGTTGATATAATGAACGCTAAACTAGGAATCAAATTATCAATTATCATCAGTTAGTAGACTTTGGAATAGCGTTATTAAAAGAAAGAGTTTATCCAGATCTTACGAATTCTGGAGCATAAGGAGTGAATAAGATTTCTCTTTCTCCCTAAAGGTACCCAACTGTTGAAGTTAGTGTACTGCCCAGTGAATGTTGGGTACCTTTAGGGAGAAAGAGAAATCTTATTCACTCCTTATGCTCCAGAATTCGTAAGATCTGCTCTCCAGAGACAATCGATAGGGAACTAGACAACCTTCGATCAAATCTCCTTAATAATGGTTATCCTACAAGGTTCATTGAACGTAACATCAAGAAAGAATCCACCCCGAGACAAGTCACAGTACCAAAGAAAAAGCTGTTTATGAGTCTTGCATTCAAAGGTGACACCATTTCAGAATTGATTAAAAACCGTTTATCTAAATGTATTAAACGTACTTTTCCTGCAGCTGACCTGCATCTAGTTTTTACCAGCCGAAATATGATCAGACAAAACGTCAAGGATAGATTACCGCTTTTGTCCACATCTATGTGCATTTACTCTTTTACTTGCTCTTGTGGAGCTGTTTATATTGGACGTTGTAAGCGTAATCTCCGAAAACGTGTAGCTGAACACTATCCGGTTTGGTTAATGAAAGGCGAACGTAGAACTGCAAAGTCGTCTATCTGTGATCACCTGTTAGAGTCTGGTCATTTAGCCCCACGTGATTCATCCTTCAAAGTTATATACATGGCAAAATCCAATCGATCCAAAAGTTTACGTTTTCTGCACTTATGCATAGCTGAAGCTTTAGCTATACATGAACAGAAACCTATATTATGTGTTCAAAAGCGTTTTGTCAAACCCCTTTCTTTACCTTGGTCATAATAATTTTCTTTCTAGTTTATATTTTATTTTACCACTTGAATTCTTTCCACTTCACTTCACATCTTCATGCTTATCATAATCGTACTCCTAATTTTCATAATTTTTTAGACAACACTTGACATTTTTGTTATAGAATAATCTTTCATGGTTGTAATTTATCCACTTCAACTCTACCCCTTATAACTTTTATCACATATATACGTACATTGACTGATCAATTATTTAGTGCCATTTTTGTTATAATACAATCTTTAATTTTTTTGGTAATTTATCCACTTCAACTCTACCCCTTATAACTTTTATCACATATACGTACATTGACTGAGCAATTATTTAGTGCCACTTAATAACCTTTTTCTGTAATATAAATACGACTGTACAGCTTGAAAATGAAGTCGTTGAAAAGAAATTTCTTCGCTGAAAAAAAACTGCGTTTTTACTTATGAATAAATGGGTATTATTCGAGATTGAAGATGTTGCCTAGTGGGGCGATGAAACCTTCTCAGATTAACTGTCCAGCTCAGCTGAACTACAATTCTTCATCCTGTATGAATTCCAGTATCTCAAGATTCCAATTTTAACTAGTCTTCAAATAGTATACGAATTACTCACCTTGTAAAAATGGAAGATTAGGCATATTCAGAATAAAAAATCAGCAAACTACACAAGTCCAATGTTTGGTTCACTTTTGTGTGAAGTGGAAGTGAATGGTACAAGCTCAGTACATAACCTCGTTAAACAGTCATATGATGATCCACATAACAAGCGATTCACAGTAGAGCGAAGTGTAAACAAGAAAAAAGACAAGGCTGTTCAGTGTCCCTGCTGATGTTCCTGATTGTGGTGTACTGGACCATCCAACGGACTTTGGGGAGGACGAAAATGCATTGGGCCGAAACAAGACTTTAGAAGCTTCGAATTAAGTGTGTGACCTATGCTTCATGTCGCACAGACTCGAAGATCTTCGGGTGAAAACTGACAAATCATCAGCAAAGGCAGAAAACACAGAGCTTCGTGTGAACATGTAGAATCTCTACAACATAGAACGCCACGGTCATTCAGAGGAAGTGAGTGAGTATGGAATTCAGAAGAGTAAGTAGAAATTATATCTTTATTATTTGCAAGGTCATCTTTCCCCATTGAACGATGTTGAATGATTAATGAATGCTCTCCTGTGTGATTGACTAAGTTTCTCCGCTTCACTTTTTTCAGCAGTGTGTTTTCGAAATAAAGCTTGAAGCTGCACAACTGCCTCAGATGGTAATTCGGACAACTACTTCGATAGAAGGGTCGGTTACTAAAGACATAGAGAAGAAAAGATACCCAATCAAAAACAACAAGCATCAATCAGTGTCAATGGGAAGAATTCAAAATAAGTCGTCCCCTACACTTCCCTGATCTGGGAGCGTCGTTTCAACTACAGGAGGTATGGATGAACATGTCAAATTCCACAAAGATAGGATAGACACCATAGATATCTGGTGTGCGTCAGTAGGGGAACGAACCTCGGACCATGTGCATGGTCGGCAAGAGTCCTAACACTAATCCTAAATCAGTGCTTCTATATGATTCAGAGACTTGGTGCGCCAGTCACAAAAAGCCTTTCCAACATCCGGGTGCACATTTTTATCACCAGCTGCCCACAACAGGTACTGAAGATCAAATGACTAGCAGGAAAGCATAAGCGACAAGAAGCTCTGACAGCTCAGTGAACCAACCTATTACTGAGCAAATATGTAGTATGGAACGAGACGGACATTCAAGTGGTATCACACCCCAGGCTGTTCAATGGAATCCGAATGAGAACTGACCAGTTGAGTGTCCTACAGTGATATGGAGGAGATCGTGTGAAGAAGAAATGAAGGCTTGTAGGGAGTCGACGGCCCGGTTAAAAATGACGGAAAACAATATAGTACAGTGGTGATGTGTTTCTGAAGCCCTATCTTCCACTTGGAACGTAAAGAACAAATAATAATATTGTAACCCATATCTTAACATCCTACTGAAAATTCACGGCTACTGGTTTACATTGAATAATTATTTGTAAATTTGGGTATACCAAATCGAAGTCTAGGAGGATCAAAGTGAAAATAACATTTTTAGCTTATATGTTTCCTTAAAAAATTTACCATGAGAGTCGCTGATCTTTTTATACCACTGTGTTGTGTAGGAAACTTGGCACTGTATTTCCACTCATATCTTTTAAGATAGAAAATATAGTGAAGATTACCTGTAGAAGCCTTTTTACTTCATGTGCATATGTGAGATTCTTGGAGCCGATAGTTGCCTCGGTGAAATGTTGTTTGGCCACTTCGACAGCTGTTGTAGCCCCGATAACGACCACGCAGCTTTTACCAGTTTGCTCTCGAATAACATCGCTTACCAGTTTAATTCTGTTTTCCTCGGGACACAGAATGAGACCCTACGTTTAAGAGAAAGTGGGAGCATTTTGCAAAGCATCATTTCTATGTAACCGTGAGAATACAAAGTATGCAAATAACTTTACGACTTCTACGAACAGACACACAAAGAAACATAACTGAACGGATATAAAAACAAAAAGGTATATTACATGCATTCAGAAGCTCACAGACTCTAATATTTTCGTTCGGTCTCAACATCGTCAGATCAAAAATGAGAATACATTCATTGTCTAAGATGGAGGTCTTTGGTCTAATTTGAGAAGTGACATAAGTTTTGACAGTAGAACATAGAATACGGTTTCAGTACTGTATATTTTCTTATGGTTTTCTACTAACACCAGCTCCCAATAAAACGTTAATAGAAATAGCAAGCAGCAATTATGACACCGCGACGAGACAGACAGTGTTTCAGAAATTGCCCAAGTTCGATAATTAGATAAGTAGACTGGTACAGCAGCACATTCATGAAACGTGATGTGACTTATCTTCAAAATATGGCAGTCACCAATACGATGGCATCAGAGTTATTCAATTCAATTAGTGTCTTTATACGTGCAGTCCAGATTATTACACGATATGTAGTCTTAGAAACACCTGACATAAGGGAATGAAAAGTCATAATGACTATGAAATCACTTTTTAAAAAGTAATGCCTTTCAAAATTGTTCTTAAATAAGGAATCAGTTAAAATTCCTTAACACAAGAATAATTGAACTTCGCATGCCGTTACAGCAAAGCAACACTTAAAAAGGTCACTCAATCATCCAACTCCACGCATTAAATTGAAGAAAGTAAACAAATCTAACAATCTATGGTTGCTAAAACTATTCGGCCTGTACCAAATACTTTAGTGAGCAGCATAAGAGAAGCATATCCAAAAATGGAAGTAGCTGGGAATTCGGCTAGAACTATTTTGAGATAATGCTATGAAAGGCTATGAATCTCAGGGTCTATCAATATATACTGCCAGACTCTGGAAGATATCTCAATATTTGTCACCTACAAGGTGATTAAGGCCATTATAAAATATGTTTTGAAGAATCCCAGACGAAATCAAGTGAGTATTGTTCAAGGACCTTTATAAAGAAACAATGATACTTTGGTAGTCTTCGAAGTCGTTGTCGTGGCATTTCTGTAAAAATAATACATTTATTTAAAATGATATCTTATCGGTGTATTGTTGTTATTGTGTAAATTCACATCATGCAAGCATACGGAAAAGAAATTATGGATCAGTCAGCTACTAAAGTTGTGGAGGCCAAAAAATATCAAATTTTACGTTCGTTGTAAAATAGTAAAAATAATGAATTCACTGCACATCATAGGTGTTAATTGAAATATTGAATAAGCACACCATCTTGTTCACCACGCACTCCGGACGACACAACTTCCCTTCTCCAGTTTCTTGCTTCCCACTATTATCGATCATCTCTGGCCCGTACCTGATCAGTATATCCACGTTTTGGATCCTTCGCTTCAATCTCCTTTTCTTTCTACAAGTACCCCTCGGGCTGTTGGCATACCCTTATGTGGAGTGAGCAACTGCAGATCAAAAGGAATACTTCATTACTTCAATTCTCTACGTCTTTATTTGTGTATCTTGAGACAATTATAACTCAAAAAATAACTGTATTATATATATATATATATATAAATTGTGTGGACTGAATTCCTCTCTACATGTATATTTATATTTTTATTTACATAGACATATATATGTATATAATCAAAGGTTTCTAATTCTTTTGTTACTTTCCTATGAGTATAAACGACCTTGACCGTTTGGTCCGCAACAAAATACATAGAACTCCTTATATGAGATGTCACATAGACTACATATCTTCTCTACTAATCTAGAGGTAGTACATCAATTTATGAAGAGTTCTTTACTGATTAAGCTCATGTTTTGTACCTTATCTTGCAAACATCTGTATTTTTCAAACTTACCTTACAAAAGGAGACAAAATATGCACCGTCTTTGATAAATTTCTTCACATTTTCTACCAACCATAGAATGTGGCATGATGGATAAGACACTAATATAATGTCAGCTTCTTCGACCACTTTCTGAATATTAGAGGAGGCGGAAACATTCGAAGGAATATCAAGTGTTGGCAAGTACTTGGGATTTATATGTTCTTGATTAATCCAAGTGGTTAGGCTACGACCGTTGCAATCTTCATCTCTTACGTACCAATAAACCTACAAAATAATTACTACGTAACTAGAAACCAAAACGTTTACTTCTTCATGAAATTCTTTTGAAGACTTAACGTTGTCAGCAACAAGTTTAACGGTGGCAGTACCCCAGGCGCCACAACCAAGAACGACAACACGTTTCACCATTAGAAAAATTTGAAGTGTCTCTCAGAAAAGGTCAAATAAAGTAACAACCTTAATAAGTTTTAACAAAAATATTGTATGCAACTTAGTTCCTATACAACTACTTTTATGGCATCGACTTCCAAAACGCTGTTGATTCTCTAATTCACAGATATATGACCGCTTCAATTAATATGGAAGGTTGAGACAGAGACAAATAATTAATCTGAAATTCAGATGAAATTGCGCAATGTTATTTTTGAGATGTTATATTTGGCTACGATAAGCGGTAAAATATCCATAGTTGGAAAAGCCTCATATGCATAAGTAGTTTATGATAAACTCCTTAGTATTCCACAGAAACAGAAATAAGTTCAAGTTAAAGTGGACTATAAATTGTGCCTTGGAGCATATTGTAGCGGTAAATAATTCCCCAAAGTTATTGACCGTAGGAATCATCAGTGAACATTGGATGCTGACCCTTAGTGTTTAAGTCGACTTGTTTAGCTGAAGGCTTCCGGTCAAGCATCCTCGCCATTTGGTACTCCGTCGTGTCACTTTCGTGCACGATCACCAACCAGCTTAGCTTCCGCTTCAGTCCACGATTTGGTTCCGAAATATATCTCGTAGTTTGGAAGATCAGCTCTGGTCTTTTGCTTTGCCTTTGGTACACGAGAAACGAATACTATAGAAGTTACTGTTATGAGATTTTATTTCATTTTATTTTTGATTACAGCTTGATTCCACTCTGTACTTTTGGTACAAGTATAGAATTTTCAGCATGGATATCGGTAGGCCAAATTTTGCAGGCCGACCATAGATATCATGTGTGCGTCGGCAGGGGATCGAACCTCGGATCATGTGCATGGTTGGTGAGAGTCCTAACCAATGTGCCACCGACGCACAGATCTTGCGTTAGTATACTCCGTACAATTCACGAACGTCAATACCGTCAGCCTCTAAACTGGTGAGCCCAACCGCGAGCTTCATCTTCGATAAATACGCAGAAAACCCCGGTGAGTTCGTTCCATTTTGTATTTGTTTTTGTACTGTATTGAAATCGGTATAAGTTTCGTCATGAGTGATACTAGTCCCAAGGTCACCCGTATTCGCTCAACTGCAGAAACAATTCAGCTCGTACTACACAGGCCATGAAAATGCAGTTGAAGAATGAACGATCAATTCATGGTTGTTTGCTCAAAACCAACTTCCCCAATTTTCGCGGAGGCATCAATACGACAGTCGTCGTCACATCCCACACAATTTACCAATTTTCGTGTGTGTGTGGACATACATACATAGAGAGGAGTAATCGAGCTTTGCACGTGAGGGTGGGAGAGCATATCCCAAAACGGTTAGAAAAACAGATGAATTGTGACAAGCTAATAGATGCAGGTGGCAGACTACCAAATTCGTCTATAGCTAAACATCTAATCGAGATGAACCATAAGATTGATGTTAACTCAGCCTTTAAGGTCATCTATAAAAACGGTCAAGGGCGTTTATTGAAATACGCTGAGGCTATAGCTATTCATAGACTTAAGCCCCCCTTGTGTATTCAAAAACAGTTTGTCATTACTCTTAACCTACCTTGGTAATCCTTATTTGATTGGATTACCAAACGTTTGTGTTAATTATTCTTAATTCCGTTTTCTCTCACTTTGTTTAATTTAACCTTTCTATATATATTGACTTGACAAGTAAATGTGTGATCAGATTGTTCGAAATGTATAGCGCTAATACATCACATTTTTCAGACAGTCTCCGTCTTCTAATAACGCTATCAAAATTTATAAAAGGGACTAATTGTTTAAATTTTTGAAAAGAAGACTCCCTCCATGCACTATTAAACGGTTAGATGGACTTCTTAACCTAAAGTGTAAAGTAGCATCTGAAAAGGTGAAATTGGATTTTTATAAATCTTGTCTCTCAAGTCACACATTCCCGAAAGCATTTTACAAATCTCTTCGATCTTCTAAACTTCAACCAAATATTTCAAATCTTATTCGCCTTACGAAATCTCACATTGACAGTTCTAATGAGAAGTTATGTGGATTGAACTCCATTTATCATCATCAAATATATTGTCTGATATCTCCATAATCTGCCAAATCAAGTTCACTAATTTTTGTAGCTCTGCCGTTAATAAGACGAAAGAGAATACTAGATTGAAACTGATCGGATCCGGTACCTCTGACTTTGAATTAAACCAATTCCCATTAAATCCTGATAAGTATGTGACAAATCTGTCATCGGTTGAACTTTTATTACATGAAAAGGAGGTGTTATCACTTGGTTTCAATTTTTCTATCCCATTAAACAGTATTTCGGATTTAGCAATTGATTTTGAAAATTTGTATGATCAGTTGAGTTCTCTAACTCCTTCCTCGACAGATGACCAAAGTTGGCTGAAAGTTAAATTTGTTGATGTTGCACACCAATTCCGTAATTCAAGTCGAAAACAGAGAAGCATTTTAACATCAACCCATTTTAAAGCCCTAAAGGAATTACGTAACAGATCCGATATAGTTATTCTGAAACCTGACAAAGGATCTGGTGTAGTTGTAATGGACAGAAATGATTATAAAACAAAAATGTTATCCATTCTTAATGACGAAAATAAATTTATAGCCGATGTTCCTTCGGATGACATCAGAAAATTGGAAGGAAAAGTAAATTCTCATTTAGTAAAACTTCGCGGCATGAACGTTATCGATAAACAGGAGTTTAACTCCTTGAAACCCATGGGATCTGATTTTCCAAACCTTTATGGACTACCTAAAATTCATAAGGTTGACAATCCATTACGTCCAATTCTTTCAATGTGTAACTCTCCTACACATAAACTAGCAAAATGGTTAGCTGATATTTTAAGCCCAGTACGGAATGTATTATGTAAGTTTACTTTGAAAGATACATTTGAACTTGTTGACTGTCTTGTAGATATGAACATAAAAGATAGGAAAATGTATTCATTTGATGTTAATTCTTTGTTTACTACATTGATTAAGACTGTTGATATTCTTTGTGACTATATTTCTTCTAGTTGTTTTTCATTCCCTTTCCCTTTAACTTATTTGAAAGATTTATTATTATTATGTACTGACAACGTCCATTTCACGTTTGAAGGAGAACATTTTCGACAAGTGGATGGCGTTGCTATGGGGAGTCCATTAGGACCTTTGTTAGCGGACGTGTATATGTCTTATGTTGAAAACTTATCCCTTGATTTAATTTCAACATTGCCCTTTTATAGGAGATATGTAGATGATATTATTTTGATATGTGACGATCATGAAGATGCGAGTCGCCTATTAGACAGACTTAACTCTGTACAAAATCATATTAGTCTTACATGTGAGGAAGAAAGTCGCAACCAGCTAGCATTTTTAGACATACTTCTGAGTCGAAGAGATGATGGCTCAATAAGACGGTCTATCTACAGAAAGCCCACTTGGACAGGGCAATACCTTAATTTTCACAGCTTCTGTCCATTACAGTATAAGAGGGGCTTGGTGAAGTGCCTATTCAAGAGGATTCAGCGTATTTGCACGGCTGATGTTATGGACAGAGAAAACGAAATATTAATGGATACTCTTGTTGAAAACGGATATCCTTTGAAATTTTTAAACAGGTGTAGAAGTCAACTAGCCTCTAAACCTACAATTCATACCGTCCCTAAGAAAAAGGTTTTTATCAAATTACCATATAACGGGGAAATAAACAGTAGGATTGTGAGACAAAGGTTGAATTCAATCATCTGTAGGACCTACTATGCTGCCCAGCTTGTAATTGTGGAAAAAGCCAAAAATATGCTTCACTGTAAACCCCAAAATTGCACAAGTGATTATATCACATCCCATACAATTTACCAATTTTCGTGTGTGTGTGGACATACATACATAGAGAGGAGTAATCGCGCTTTGCACGTGAGGGTGGGAGAGCATATCCCAAAATGGTTAGAAAAACAGATGAATTGTGACAAGCTAATAGATGCAGGTGGCAGACTACCAAATTCGTCTATAGCTAAACATCTAATCGAGACGAACCATAAGATTGATGTTAACTCAGCCTTTAAGGTCATCTATAAAAACGGTCAAGGGCGTTTATTGAAATACGCTGAGGCTATAGCTATTCATAGACTTAAGCCCCCCTTGTGTATTCAAAAACAGTTTGTCATTACTCTTAACCTACCTTGGTAATCCTTATTTGATTGGATTACCAAACGTTTGTGTTAATTATTCTTAATTCCGTTTTCTCTCACTTTGTTTAATTTAACCTTTCTATATATATTGACTTGACAAGTAAATGTATGATCAGATTGTTCGAAATGTATAGCGCTAATACATCACATTTTTCAGACAGTCTCCGTCTTCTAATAACGCTATCAAAATTTATAAAAGGGACTAATTGTTTTAAAGTCATCGTCTCATCGGTCGCTGTTCAGAAAGATGTCAGGAGAAAACCGTCAGATGTAATCTTGTGATTTGTTATTGTAATATTTGTTCATAGACCTTAGTTTTATGGCTTAGTTTTAAATTTGGCTATTTGTTGGTGTTACAATAAAGAATTCTCGAGTCGCCAGTCGATGTTTTGGTTTTTGCGTCCGTTATTACCAAGCGTTTCTCAAAAACTTCAAGAAACAGCGTGAGCCCGAGCGTAGGAAGAGCTGGGCATTAATGGTTTACGAGACGTGGCTGACAGAAGCCCAGTTGGGAATGAACCGCTGGTAATAACTTACCGAGTCGTTAAAGGTGCGGAGACTTTTCACTGTCTGTGGCTCCGGAAAGTTCAGTATTGCCTCGACTTTAGTAGCCAGTGGGCGAGTGCCCTTGTAGTCAATAGTGTGACCCAGGAATTCGAGTGAGTCAACGCCTATCTGACACTTTCGAATACTGATGGTAATACCACGCTGGCGTAACCTTTCAAATGCCAGGTCCAAGTGTCTAAGGTGAGTTTCCCTGCCTGGACTGGCAATGAGTCAGTCGTATAAGTATGCGTATACAAAGTCGAGACCGCGTAATATTTCGTCGATGAAGCCTTGGAATGTCCGGGCTGCATTCCGGAGACCGAATGGCATACGTAGAAATTCGAAAAGTCCGAGAGGAGTAATGATAGCCGTTTTCGGAATATCTTTTGTAGCCATCGGGATTTGGTTATACGCTTTAACCAAGTCGATTTTTGAGAATATAGTTGCGCCAGATAGTGTTGTCGTCAAGTAGTGTATGTGAGGCAATGGATAGCAATCAGAGGTTGTTCTGGTATTCATCCACCGATGATCACTAGTGGGTTGCCAATTGTTGCTGTCTTTTTTCGGTACCATATGCAGTGGGGATGCCCATGGGCTATTCGATGGTCGAATGATGCCAAGAGTGAGCATATGGTTGAACTCATTCCTAGCGATTCTCGGTTTGTCTGGAGAAAGTCGTCGTGCTTTAGATGTCACGGGCTGTCCTGAGGTTATGATGTGGTGCATAACATCGCTGGTTATGCACGGTAGGTCATTAGACGGGCAATTAAGTTCCGAATATTTATCAACAATCGGTTGAAAAGTGTCCTGTATCTTAGCGGGTGACCAGCTGGGGCCTACGTAGGTGATGTCTTTGATAGACAGACTAGTAGTATTGTCAATCAGTTGTTTTCGGCGGACGTCTACGAGTAAATCATGATGATTAAGTAGGTCCGTGCCAATGATGGGCATTGTGACGTCAGCGAGAAGGAGAATCCACTGTATAGGTTTGCGCAAACCTACGTTCAGATAAACGTATTTCCTACCAAAAGTTGCGATTGGTTCTCCATTTGCAGCCTGTAGGTTGAAGGTAGGTTGCTTCTGTCGATCTGCTGCTGTAGCAGGAAGGACGCTGACTTCGGCGCCTGCGTCGACTAAATATCGAGTCTGGCTGATCACATAATGGTTGCAAAGTGGGCGGCTTGTGCTACCGGCGACGGCTGCCGCTAACGCGGGACGGTGGGATAGTTTCTCACAGACTTTGAGACATTTCCAAAGTTACAAGGCTTACGGCAATATTTCGCTTCTTGGCCATAGGTGTGGTACCAGCACCAGTCAGGGCTTTTCAGAGAACGTGGCTTGGACTTAGATCGACCACGTGAGTTTCGCCGTTGAGGGGTTTTGGACGACGGTAAGAGGAATTACAAGGCAAGTTTGACCTAATCATCTGCTGGATGGAGTTGCATGACTCTACCACTGAAGTATCCTTACTCGAAGTCTGTTTGGCCACCGAGCATATTTCAGGAACCGACCGTTTGGTTATTTCCAGAATTTTATCTGTAGAAATAACTAAGTCATCCATAAGAACACCCTGAAGTGTCACAAGTACAGTCTGCATGGACTGTGGCAGCTTGGATAAGAAGAGTTCTCTGGAAAGTCCTTCATCGAACTGACGTTGGCCAATAACTTCTCTCATTCTTGTTAGCATGCTTACGGCTGACTGATCCCCTAACTCGATGTTACGAAATAATTCGTCCAGACGTTGTCGATCCGTGAGAACTTCTCTCTTGATGGGGGATGCTTTGAGCAATTCATACGAGTTACTTACCTCAGGACTCGACATCTGTACAGTTACACACTAGTTGAATTCCCGTGGTGGGGCGTGAATAAGTGCGAGGAGCTGTGAACGTTGATTGGTTACCCCATGCTCCTGAAAACCAAACTCAGCTATCTGAAACCATGCTTCATCATTATCTGGCCAGTATGGTACGAGCTGAATGGTTTTTGCAGTTGAGCGAATACGGGTGACCTTGGGACTAGTATCACTCATGACGAAACTTATACCGATTTCAATACAGTACAAAAACAAATACAAAATGGAACGAACTCACCGGGGTTTTCTGCGTATTTATCGAAGATGAAGCTCGCGGTTGGGCTCACCAGTTTAGAGGCTGACGGTATTGACGTTCGTGAATTGTACGGAGTATACTAACGCAAGATCTGTGCGTCGGTGGCACATTGGTTAGGACTCTCACCAACCATGCACATGATCCGAGGTTCGATCCCCTGCCGACGAACACATGATATCTATGGTCGGCCTGCAAAATTTGGCCTACCGATATCCATGCTGAAAATTCTATACTTGTACCAAAAGTACAGAGTGGAATCAAGCTGTAATCAAAAATAAAATGAAATAAAATCTCATAACAGTAACTTCTACAGTATTCGTTTCTCGTGTACCAAAGGCAAAGCAAAAGACCAGAGCTGATCTTCCAAACTACGAGATATATTTCGGAACCAAATCGTGGACTGAAGCGGAAGCTAAGCTGGTTGGTGATCGTGCACGAAAGTGACACGACGGAGTACCAAATGGCGAGGATGCTTGACCGGAAGCCTTCAGCTAAACAAGTCGACTTAAACACTAAGGGTCAGCATCCAATGTTCACTGATGATTCCTACGGTCAATAACTTTGGGGAATTATTTACCGCTACAATATGCTCCAAGGCACAATTTATAGTCCACTTTAACTTGAACTTATTTCTGTTTCTGTGGAATACTAAGGAGTTTATCATAAACTACTTATGCATATGAGGCTTTTCCAACTATGGATATTTTACCGCTTATCGTAGCCAAATATAACATCTCAAAAATAACATTGCGCAATTTCATCTGAATTTCAGATTAATTATTTGTCTCTGTTCCAACCTTCCATATTAATTGAAGCGGTCATATATCTGTGAATTAGAGAATCAACAGCGTTTTGGAAGTCGATGCCATAAAAGTAGTTGTATAGGAACTAAGTTGCATACAATATTTTTGTTAAAACTTATTAAGGTTGTTACTTTATTTGACCTTTTCTGAGAGACACTTCAAATTTTTCTAATGGTGAAACGTGTTGTCGTTCTTGGTTGTGGCGCCTGGGGTACTGCCACCGTTAAACTTGTTGCTGACAACGTTAAGTCTTCAAAAGAATTTCATGAAGAAGTAAACGTTTTGGTTTCTAGTTACGTAGTAATTATTTTGTAGGTTTATTGGTACGTAAGAGATGAAGATTGCAACGGTCGTAGCCTAACCACTTGGATTAATCAAGAACATATAAATCCCAAGTACTTGCCAACACTTGATATTCCTTCGAATGTTTCCGCCTCCTCTAATATTCAGAAAGTGGTCGAAGAAGCCGACATTATATTAGTGTCTTATCCATCATGCTACATTCTATGGTTGGTAGAAAATGTGAAGAAATTTATCAAAGACGGTGCATATTTTGTCTCCTTTTGTAAGGTAAGTTTGAAAAATACAGATGTTTGCAAGATAAGGTACAAAACATGAGCTTAATCAGTAAAGAACTCTTCATAAATTGATGTACTACCTCTAGATTAGTAGACAAGATATGTAGTCTATGTGACATCTCATATAAGGAGTTCTATGTATTTTGTTGCGGACCAAACGGTCAAGGTCGTTTATACTCATAGGAAAGTAACAAAAGAATTAGAAACCTTTGATTATATACATATATATGTCTATGTAAATAAAAATATAAATATACATGTAGAGAGGAATTCAGTCCACACAATTTATATATATATATATATATATATATATATATAATACAGTTATTTTTTGAGTTATAATTGTCTCAAGATGCACAAATAAAGACGTAGAGAATTGAAGTAATGAAGTATTCCTTTTGATCTGCAGTTGCTCACTCCACATAAGGGTATGCCAACAGCCCGAATGTACATTCTATGGTTGAGCAATTCATACGAGTTACTTACCTCAGGACTCGACATCTGTACAGTTACACACTAGTTGAATTCCCGTGGTGGGGCGTGAATAAGTGCGAGGAGCTGTGAACGTTGATTGGTTACCCCATGCTCCTGAAAACCAAACTCAGCTATCTGAAACCATGCTTCATCATTATCTGGCCAGTATGGTACGAGCTGAATGGTTTTTGCAGTTGAGCGAATACGGGTGACCTTGGGACTAGTATCACTCATGACGAAACTTATACCGATTTCAATACAGTACAAAAACAAATACAAAATGGAACGAACTCACCGGGGTTTTCTGCGTATTTATCGAAGATGAAGCTCGCGGTTGGGCTCACCAGTTTAGAGGCTGACGGTATTGACGTTCGTGAATTGTACGGAGTATACTAACGCAAGATCTGTGCGTCGGTGGCACATTGGTTAGGACTCTCACCAACCATGCACATGATCCGAGGTTCGATCCCCTGCCGACGAACACATGATATCTATGGTCGGCCTGCAAAATTTGGCCTACCGATATCCATGCTGAAAATTCTATACTTGTACCAAAAGTACAGAGTGGAATCAAGCTGTAATCAAAAATAAAATGAAATAAAATCTCATAACAGTAACTTCTATAGTATTCGTTTCTCGTGTACCAAAGGCAAAGCAAAAGACCAGAGCTGATCTTCCAAGCTACGAGATATATTTCGGAACCAAATCGTGGACTGAAGCGGAAGCTAAGCTGGTTGGTGATCGTGCACGAAAGTGACACGACGGAGTACCAAATGGCGAGGATGCTTGACCGGAAGCCTTCAGCTAAACAAGTCGACTTAAACACTAAGGGTCAGCATCCAATGTTCACTGATGATTCCTACGGTCAATAACTTTGGGGAATTATTTACCGCTACAATATGCTCCAAGGCACAATTTATAGTCCACTTTAACTTGAACTTATTTCTGTTTCTGTGGAATACTAAGGAGTTTATCATAAACTACTTATGCATATGAGGCTTTTCCAACTATGGATATTTTACCGCTTATCGTAGCCAAATATAACATCTCAAAAATAACATTGCGCAATTTCATCTGAATTTCAGATTAATTATTTGTCTCTGTTCCAACCTTCCATATTAATTGAAGCGGTCATATATCTGTGAATTAGAGAATCAACAGCGTTTTGGAAGTCGATGCCATAAAAGTAGTTGTATAGGAACTAAGTTGCATACAATATTTTTGTTAAAACTTATTAAGGTTGTTACTTTATTTGACCTTTTCTGAGAGACACTTCAAATTTTTCTAATGGTGAAACGTGTTGTCGTTCTTGGTTGTGGCGCCTGGGGTACTGCCACCGTTAAACTTGTTGCTGACAACGTTAAGTCTTCAAAAGAATTTCATGAAGAAGTAAACGTTTTGGTTTCTAGTTACGTAGTAATTATTTTGTAGGTTTATTGGTACGTAAGAGATGAAGATTGCAACGGTCGTAGCCTAACCACTTGGATTAATCAAGAACATATAAATCCCAAGTACTTGCCAACACTTGATATTCCTTCGAATGTTTCCGCCTCCTCTAATATTCAGAAAGTGGTCGAAGAAGCCGACATTATATTAGTGTCTTATCCATCATGCTACATTCTATGGTTGGTAGAAAATGTGAAGAAATTTATCAAAGACGGTGCATATTTTGTCTCCTTTTGTAAGGTAAGTTTGAAAAATACAGATGTTTGCAAGATAAGGTACAAAACATGAGCTTAATCAGTAAAGAACTCTTCATAAATTGATGTACTACCTCTAGATTAGTAGACAAGATATGTAGTCTATGTGACATCTCATATAAGGAGTTCTATGTATTTTGTTGCGGACCAAACGGTCAAGGTCGTTTATACTCATAGGAAAGTAACAAAAGAATTAGAAACCTTTGATTATATACATATATATGTCTATGTAAATAAAAATATAAATATACATGTAGAGAGGAATTCAGTCCACACAATTTATATATATATATATATATATATAATACAGTTATTTTTTGAGTTATAATTGTCTCAAGATGCACAAATAAAGACGTAGAGAATTGAAGTAATGAAGTATTCCTTTTGATCTGCAGTTGCTCACTCCACATAAGGGTATGCCAACAGCCCGAATGTACATTCTATGGTTGAGCAATTCATACGAGTTACTTACCTCAGGACTCGACATCTGTTCAGTTACACACTAGTTGAATTCCCGTGGTGGGGAGTGAATAAGTGCGAGGAACTGTGAATGTTGATTGGTTACCCCATGCTCCTGAAAACCAAACTCAGCTATCTGAAACCATGCTTCATCATTATCTGGCCTGTCAGCCACGTCTCGTATACCATTAATGCCCAGCTCTTGCTACGCCCGGGCTCACGCTGTTCCATGAAGATTTTCAGAAACGCTTAGTAATAACGGACGCAAAAACCAAAACACCGACTGGCGACTCGAGAATTCTTTATTGTAACACCAACATATAAACAATGTTACAACTAAGGTCTGTGAACAAATATTACAATAATAAATCACAAGATTACTTCTGACGGCTTTCTCCTGACTTCTTTCTGAACAGCGACCGATGAGACGATGACTGTCGTATTGATGCCTCCGCGAAAATTGGGGAAGTTGGTTTTGAGCAAACAACCATGAACTGATCGTTCAATCTTCAACTAAATTGACAAACTGACTATCGAGTTCTCTAAAGATCTGAAAGCCCAACAGGCTCGCTTAGTAGCCTGAAGATTTTTGGTACGATTCCCAGTGGGTTCATGGATGCATAGTACTGAAACGCTGAAAACTAAGGCGAGAAAGCTACCCATTACCCGTCAATGTCCAGATCTAACTACGCTGGACTTCACACTGTCTTTGGAGGACTTTCAGGAACTATGCTCAATAAACAACGCAAAAAAGCCAGAGCACAAATTGGTGACTCAGGAACCCTTTATTTTTTCACCAATACAGAGCCAACCATTAGGTTATTGTACACAAAGTCTAAGAATGAATGTCACAACAATAAATCACAATAATACTTCTGATAGTTTTTCTCTGTCTTCCAACGAATAGCGAACGATGAGACGATGACTGCAGTATCGATGACCCCCACCAAAATATGGAGTTGGTTTGAGCAAACAACCATGAATCGATCGTTCAGTTTTCAAGTACATTTACATTATCTCGCGTAGCAGTGGTTTAGTAACTGAAGTCGTTCTTGATTCTATTGTGTAGGGATGTCACGGTAGTGAATACGTTAAGTAAGTATCGTCCTTCAATCCAGTTGTACTTCAGCATAGATGAGATGCAGCCAACAATGCGGAGGAAGTGTAGACATCTGGACATGCAAGCTAAAGTGTATACTTCGTGGTCAGTGACGGAGTGAGTGAAAATTCCTCTATGATTACCTTGGAGAGAGAAAATCTTGGGAGGTGTTTGTTAGTAGGAAATTTTAGAAAGCTTTCTAGATTTCGAATTTGTATTAGCTTCATCAGACATGGTACGACTCGTATCAGCCTTCAGTAAAGCATATGATGACGAATTTTCAAGTTGCTATTTGAATGTTATTATCGCTGGTGTAAATCACTCTGTGCCTACGCTTGGTTGACCAGATACGTCGTGTGTTTGTTCGTCATCCACATTTCACGATACAAAAGCATGGGCGTGTTACCATTCAAAGTTGAGGATATAGATGATGGAAGGAGGTCAGCAAGTGAACTCTGCGACGATTTTCCTACCTGGGGCGTCAACCCGAGAAGGGTTGTAGTCGTACTGCTGTAAGTCCCGCAATTCTTCAAAGGTAGTAAGTCGAAGTGGTGTCCATCGTACTTGGTGTTTCATTTTGTACATATGTTCATGTTGTATATGCTGAATTAGTATCATCTATCTGTTGGTTAATTTTGCTTGTGCCCGGACGTCCCCCACTTGGATCGTCAACCTGAGAAGTAATGTAGGCGTACTGCTGTAAGTCCTACAATTCTTCGAGGGTGGCTAGTCAAGCCAGAATCCTCAACATTTGATGTATTGGTTGTATATATGTTTGTGTTAAAGAATTGAGTGGGTTCCAATTAATGTAATTGTTAGTTAATCTTGTTGTGGCCGGGCATTCTTCAACTTACAATCGTTAACCTGGGAAAGGCTGCAGGCGTACTAGTGTAAGTCCTGCAACTCTTCAAAGGAATTACATCAAGACATGACCAGCGAGGTTATGTGCACTCTGTGTATATTTGTGATGTGTGTCATATAAGTTGGTCTTTTTTGGATTCATTGTTGTTTTTGTATCTTGTTGTTATGCATAATTTTGTTAGAATTTCCGTCGTGCTTACTTCTGAAGTTGTTTTCAGTCTTCCACATCCGAGAATGAATTGATTGATGTTAAAGATAACAGGGTCGTATACGCCGGTGAGCCTGGTGCTGAGAATGACATGTACATGGAGAAAATGATTAGCTATGGAATCAATGATTGAAAATGAATGTTTCTATTTAGGCTCTGGTCCCACACGCCTGGGAGCGAGAGTGTAGACGACTGAGGCTTGCATACGTCGCCGTTACTAGAACTGAGGCAGAATGAGTGACAAGCGATTGCAGTGGTAATTGGTAGTGAATAGATGAGAGGATGTGCGACGAGTACCACGAGGTGATACTACGGTCATGTTGCTTTCTGCAGGAGTCGTTCTAGCAAGTGGCGATTGTATTGCAAGATGTGAAGAGAATGTCCTTAGCTAGAAGGATAAGGTCGTCGTCGATGAGTGAGATGGTGCTGTCGGTATGCCTGTGGTGTGTTGGCTTTTCCGCTTGTTTTCCATTTCAGCTCCGTCCGTATGACCCAGGTTCTCACACTGGCACTCAAGTCAAGGTGTATTGGTCGTGATGAGAGAAAAGGATGGATCCATTTTTGACGCGGAGTGAAATGTAGTTGAAGACTGAACGATAGATTCATGGTTGTTTGCTCAAACCAACTCCATATTTTGGTGGGGGTCATCGATACTGCAGTCATCGTCTCATCGTTCGCTATTCGTTGGAAGACAGAGAAAAACTATCAGAAGTATTATTGTGATTTATTGTTGTGACATTCATTCTTAGACTTTGTGTACAATAACCTAATGGTTGGCTCTGTATTGGTGAAAAAATAAAGGGTTCCTGAGTCACCAATTTGTGCTCTGGCTTTTTTGCGTTGTTTATTGAGCATAGTTCCTGAAAGTCCTCCAAAGACAGTGTGAAGTCCAGCGTAGTTAGATCTGGACATTGACGGGTAATAGGTAGCTTTCTCGCCTTAGTTTTCAGCGCTTCAGTACTATGCATCCATGAACCCACTGGGAATCGTACCAAAAATCTTCAGGCTACTAAGCGAGCCTGTTGGGCTTTCAGATCTTTAGAGAACTCGATAGTCAGTTTGTCAATTTAGTTGAAGATTGAACGATCAGTTCATGGTTGTTTGCTCAAAACCAACTTCCCCAATTTTCGCGGAGGCATCAATACGACAGTCATCGTCTCATCGGTCGCTGTTCAGAAAGAAGTCAGGAGAAAACCGTCAGAAGTAATCTTGTGATTTATTATTGTAATATTTGTTCACAGACCTTAGTTGTAACATTGTTTATATGTTGATGTTACAATAAAGAATTCTCGAGTAGCCAGTCGGTGTTTTGGTTTTTGCGTCCGTTATTACTAAGTGTTTCTGAAAACTTCATGGAACAGCGTGAGCCCGAGCGTAGCAAGAGCTGGGCATTAACGGTTTACGAGACGTGACTGACAATAGCCGTTTTCGGAATATCTTTTGTAGCCATCGGGATTTGGTTATACGCTTTAACCATGTCGATATTTGAGAATATAATTGCGCCATATAATGTTGTCGTCGATTAGTGTATGTGAGGCAATGGATAGCAATCAGGGTTTGTCTGGTATTCATCCACCGATGATCACTAGTGGGTTGCCAATTGTTGCTGTCTTTTTTCGGTACCATATGCAGTGGGGATGCCCATGGGCTATTCGATGGTCGAATGATGCCAAGAGTGAGCATATGGTTGAACTCATTCCTAGCAACTCTCAGTTTGTCTGGAGCAAGTCGTCGTGCTTTAGATGTCACGGGCTGTCCTGAGATTGTGATATGGTGCGTAACATCGCTGGTTATGCACGGTAGGCCATTTGACGGGCAATTAAGCTTCGAATATTTAATGAAAACAAAACACGTAGATCAGCGAAGAGTCTCTTTTCGGCGAATTCATTTTCTCAACTGTACAATCGCAAATATATATGCATTGTTTTGTATGTATGTGTACATTAAGTTTGTCAAACAAAGTTACAATTGGTTAAGGTTACTTTTAACTAAACAAGTGAAGGTTGGTAATACAGGTCAAGAAAATTAAGTGCTAATGAAACTAGGGTAGTAAAAAAATGATGAGTTGTCACAAACAGTTGTAATAATAATAGTGAGTTTTACTCAGGATGCACATAGAAACAGAGTAGATAATACGAAACTATGTAAGAGATCTAAGTGGATACAAGAATTATAATTGCTTAAGGTTATTTTAACTAAACAGGTAAAGGTTGGTAATATACGTCAAGACCATTAAGTGCTAGGGTAGTAACAAAGGTGATGAGTTGTCACAAACAGTTGTTAAAAGAAGTTATGCAATAATAGTATGAATAGTTTGATGAGTGAGTTTTACTCAGGATGCACATAGAAACAAAGTAGA